AAGAGGAGCAAATTGCCCTTTTCCCTGACAGTGAAGTCAAAGATTAGTTTACAGCAATCCTGTAACGAAGCCTGAGGCACAACACAAACTGTCCCAGCAGAACCATTGCCAGGGTGCAATTTTAAGGAGAGTCAGGCTTATATCTTCAAAAAACCTGGAAAGTTCTGAAGGTTGGCCCCATTAGAGCAAAAAACAGGCAATACAGACTCTGCCCTACACATCTAGAAACTTCAGAAAAACAAAATTATCCACAAAGTGATTAGTCGGAAGATTTCTTTTTTTGCTATATTTTCAGCCTCTCATGACCATTCTCCTTTTCTGTGTGAATGACAAAGAAACAACGATCTCAGAGCACTTACAGAGCTATACAGAGCAATCCTCTGGTAGATAAGATCATTCCTGAGAGGGAAGGAATGCTGCTCCCAGCACCAGAGGCTGAGCAGAGATGACAGCCATATGCCACTTGGCAGAAGTCACGGGGTTGTTTGTTGCTTTTTCAGGATCCCAATTCTAATGAATTATAAAATAGAGCCTAAATTAATAGTCAAGAGGACTTTATCAGGGCCCCACGCTTAGGAGATGCTCATCTGGGAGAATCTCTTTCAACTCAGAGACTGTTTGACTTGATCAAAGGTTCTTGCTTTTCAATTGACTTCTGTACAATCCTCACACTCAAGAGCTTCATGAAACAAGAGCCAGGCTGCTTCCCAGAGACAATTCGAATCCCAGTGAGATGTCAGTCTCATCTTAAAGGCCAACTGCTTGGAAAGCAGGAATTTCTGAATATTAATGCCCTCCTACAACAATGAATGATGGGACTGCCAAGTCTGTGCTCTTTAGCAACTTGGTACCAACCAGGCTGATATTTGAAAGGTCCTCATCTGCTACAGAATGTACATATTTGATGTTTAATGACATCAGAACAATCATACAAGTGCGTTATCTCTGCTGGGGGTAGAAGGGATGAAATGGTGTTACCCCAGCTTCTGGAAAAAGATAAAACAGACAAAGCTCTTATACTCTGGAGTAAGAGCTGTACTCAAGAAGTCCAGCATTCACTGGCTGTATGAGATACTGGATTCAGCCAAAGACTGTGCTGAACTTTATGAATAAGAAATCTTTCTAATTTATCCACTTAGTAAAAAACTTCTCTTTGACAGACCAAGTCCTGCATTCCCATAAGGCTGCCTAAATAAAACTCACTGTGTGCACACAGCTGAACCTCAGGGAAGGAGAAAAATACTGCAGGTCAGAGAGTTAACTCACTTTCACTGTCTTTACATAAAACCACATTTCCCACAGGCAGCTAAAAACAGGGAGGAGATGCAAATCAAGGCAAAGAAACAATCCCACCTGAAGGATGTTTTGCTCAAATTTGAAAGGGGAGATAAACATCCCATCTCTGTCTTGCAGAACTAAGAAATTTGGCACTGGGACCTCGTGGCTTAAGTTCTCCTCAAATCAAGAAAGGTGGCAGAGATGGGATGAGCTTTGCAAAGTTCTTGAACAGAGACCAGAAACACAGGATCACTTAGGTTGGAAAAGACCTCAGAGATCATCGAGTCCAATTTTTGACCCATTCCCACCTTGTCACCCAGCCCTGAGCACTGAGTGGCACTTCAAGTTGTTTCTCGGACACCTCCAGGGATGGGGACTCCACCACCTCCTTGGGCAGCCCCTTCCAATGCCTGACCACCCTTTCAGTGAAGAAATTCCTCCTGATGTCCAACCTGAACTTCCCCTGGCACAGCATTAAGGAACCATAAAAATACACAGGCAAAGCAACCTGTCCAAGGCTGTGTTGTACAAAGTCTTCCAAGAACGCTCCCATCATCTCAGGGGGTAACATGATGCTCTCAATTTTGGCAAATTATTACAGAAGAACCACTTGGAAATTCTATTCCAAGCTTACTTAAGGTTTAGGAATGTTTACACCAAGCACTGCAGTGCCACAAAGATGCCTGAGACAGTTGTGAGTGACATGGGTACCTCCATAGCTCAGTGTCAGACAGAAATGGGAGCTCACATCCCAGAGGGAATACCAAGATGGGAGCTCACATCCCAGAGGGAATACAGCCACATTAGCATGGCCCTGGGCCTGGGATAACTAGGTGATGTTTCCCCAGCTACCAGAAATCAAAGAGTGAATCACACCCACCAGCACCCAACCTTCTGATAGCACAGATTGGGACTAATTTGAACCTCAGTTATTGAGAGTGCAAGGGGAATACAAAGATATAATGCCACCATTTTACTTTGGTTTAAAGCCAGAAGGAACCATAAAATCATCTGGTGAACTGATTTAACCTGTTATCACAATGATTACACTTCATCCACACACCACTGTGTCAAGGTAGTGAACTCCAGTCAGCCCAAAGCCCTGAACTCCTTTATTCTATGTGGGTCACAGGCTGAGCCCAACCACAACCTGCCAAAGCCAAGGCTACAGACACAGCAGGTGACTGGTTAGGGGGTGGTTGTCCAAATTATTCCAGTAGAAATCCATTCCTCATACTGCTCTGGAAGGCAAAGAATCTCATACTCCTGCCCATCAGCTCCCAGCTCTGGCAATCAGGATGAATCCAAACACGTGAGCAAGACATGTGGACCAATTATCCCAAAATCTCTGCTGTATCAAAACAACCAGTCCATAGAATCACAGAATCCCAGAATGGTTTGGGTTGTAAGGGACCTTAAAGACCATCCCATTCCAACTCCCTGCCATGGGCAGGGACACCTTCCACTAGCCCAGGTTGCTCCAAGCCCTGTCTAACCCAGCTTGGACACTTCCAGGGATCCAGGGGCAGCCACAGCTCCTCTGGGCAACCTGTGCCAGGGCCTCACCACCCTCACAGCCAAGAATTTCTTCTCAATATGCCATCTAAACCTATCTTATGTCAGTTTGGAGCCATTCCCTCTTTTCCTGTCACTCCAGGCCCTTGTAAATAGCCTCTCTCCCCATTTCTTGTAGGCTCCCTTCAGGTACTGGAAGACCTCAATTATGTCACCTCAAACCTTTCCCTTTTCCAGGTTGAAATAAAGAAGTCACCCTCTGGTGATGGTCAGCTTCTGATAATCCAAAGAAAAAAATAATCAAAAAAAAAAACCAAGGGAGAAAACCTCTTCCTGACCCCTCAGAGCAAACCAGGAAGGCCCAAGAGCATGAAGTGAGGACGGTTAATGTTGAATCAGAGAAATGGTTTGGAAGGGACCTTAAAGACCAGTTCCAACCCTCTTCCATGGTGGGTCTGTCTTAATGCAGACCTGCAAGTACTCCAGGGATGTGCAGGCAAATGTCCCCGAACCAGCCAGAAGGGAAGGGGTTGGGAAGGGAGGCTCATAAATCACCAGTGTGGGCCACCACCCTTGACAGACACAGAATTTCTTCTCCTGACCCGAACCAAACACCTCTTTTAAAATGATAAATTATCTCATCTCAGAGACTCAAAATGATGGTGATGGAAAAAGACTCCCACGTTTAATTACACTGGGAGATGTGAAGCTGTTTTATTCCGAGGTGGAACTTTTCAAACTTCGGCTTCCAGCTACTGGAGCTTGTCCTGGTTTATCAGGGGTCGGGTTGTCAACTCACTGTCAGGTTCCTGCAAGGGTTCCTTGATCGTGGTGTTCACAGAATATCCTGAGTTGGAAGGGACACACAAGGATCATCCAATCCAACTCCTGGCCCTGCACAGGACACCCCAACAATCCCACCCTGTCCCTGAGAGCGTTGTCCAAACACTTCCTGAGCTCTGGCAGCCCTGGGAAGTGACCATTTCCTAGGGAGCCTGTTCAGTGCCCCACCACCCTCTGGGAGAAGGACCTTTTCCTGAGATCCAACCTGAACCTCTCCTGACATAGTGCTGTGTCTCTTCAACTAGTAGAACGTGTTTATTCCCAACACCAGGCTGGTTTTCTGGGCTCTGTACCCTTTCTCTGTCCCTCTTCAAATGCCCAGCAGTATTTCCATATGATCCCTGAGATGGTAACTCAGGAACTGCACAAAATGTTCTGATTTTACTGACCCTGAAGAGAGAAAACAGCTTTAACACTCCTGATTAAGGCCCTTTTCATACAAAAAAGAGTTTCAACAACCACTTTTATCTCTGCATTGTGCTCTGGGCTCACTGAAAGACACTTATCCACAACAATCCCTGAATCTCTCTTAGAGTTACTCTTTCCTAGGAATGACATCACATTTTGAAGGTATCAACTGCATTTTTTTCTTATTCCCAGATGTAGTAACAAGTGGCATCATTATGAGAGCTATTAAAACAGTGCAATGAGTTACTGTGTGCAGTATTTCTAGGAAATGGTAGAAAGGATGATGTTTATTGGAACTACATAAACAGGCAAAATGTTTTCTCAACACAGTTTCCCATTTCTGTTTGCACAGATGTGGGAAATGTCACCACAAAGCCCTTTCCAAGAAAGATAAATTAAATTAAAAGGTTTGAATCAGGCAAATAGATGGAATGATCCACTGATGCCTCCACACACCATCTCTCACCTCTTTTTGCTCCCTTTTTCCAATCAGAAAGTACATTCAGTATCATTGAAGAATAGAAAACCCCAAAATTTTTATGACTTGTAGAAATGAAATGAAATAAAATGAAATTAAATGAAATTAAATAAAATGAAATGAAATAAAATAAAATAATAGAGGTTTTGAATCTGCAAAGAAATACACGTTAATTTAAGGGACAAAAGACATTACAGCGTAAATTGTCATAATCAAAGTTGAAAAGAATTTTCCATTGTCTCCTGAGCCACTCTGTGGGAATTTTCCCAGCCCAGCCAGCTGGAAGGGAGGAGGGGCATTGTGAGGTTCTGTGCTCTCATTCTCTCTCTCCCTCTCTTTCTCTGTCAATAAATGTCTGCAATCATATTCTTGAGCTCCAGTGTGATTTCAAGGTTCATCTCTTCCATGCAGCTCAAACACTAATTATCCCAGCTGTAATTAGTAAGATAATTAAATACTGGCTCACTCATCACTCTACCTTGTGTCGGGTCGTGATTCTCCCAGAAGACCTTGAGCAGTTGCTCAAAGCTGATGTTTTCTGGCTGATAAACCACTCGAACGGCCTCGGTGTGACCAGTCCTGCCTTCAAAGACACAATAAAATCAGGGGAGAATTAACCAGGGCACATTCAGGTTTTTTTACCTGAGATACAAAGCACAACCCTTTTCTATTTCCCTAAAATTATTCTGATTTACCACCATTTATTAAGTTTTTTACACACGATTTTATACTTGTTCGGACAAGGCCATCGTGAATAAACCATCCAGAGAGGCAATAAGGTAAGAGAGAGATGATATTACAGCAGTTAAAGGAGAAAAAAATTAATACTTTTTATATGTTTGTAACCAAAAATTAGTAAAATATTTTAAATATTCTAAATAGAGCATTAAAATATAAAAACGTGTGTGTCTAAGTTGTCTTGAAATTCTGAAACTGGGTTTGTTTCTGGGGGGATATGGATAAAGGAATTGATAATAAAATAATCGTAATTACTATATAACAGCAATAATATTGATTATAAAAGCAAATTTCAAGGGTGTGTTTACACAAGGTCACGCAAATAATTTCAAGTTAATTCACAATATCCAAACCACTGATGCCAACAGAGCCAAAAGAGTCAGAGTCTGAACTTTAAACTTTATGACAGCAGATGAAGGACAAGGAAGATTAGCAGGTGTTACAGCACATAAAAAAATATTATGCCTATTTTTCAGTCACACTGTGAACAGAATTTTTTCATTTTTTACGTGTTTATGGCTCATAATGTTATTGAAAGATCCACCTTCAGAAAATATGAAGGCTACATAATTCACTTCAATTCTAATTAATAGTTATATTGGTGAGTTTAGACCTCTCAGGGTGAAAGTCCCTTGCACTGAGCGCTACACAAGCATTTTTTATTTTATATATATTATCATTATTTAAGAAATTAGGCATATCTGTTGTCATTATATATCCATGAATGGGCAAAAAAATCTTATTGTTCACTGAAATCATAATAAGTAAATACTAAAATAAATAAGCTGGACAACCACATCTGCCTTTTGGTGGGGATATAATAAGCTCTTTGATCACACCAGGGAGGCTTTTATTTCATTTATACCAACAGAAACTCCAGATTTACTCAACTGACTTCAGTAGAATTGTTGAATTTCATGCAGGGCAGCAACCAGGTGATTCTGGCCCAGTGATGGGTCCTGAATGAGTTGTCACCAAACAACAAAAATCAGAATTTGTGAGTAATCTGAGGAGGGCTCAGTAGAAACACCAATTCAGTACCAAGAGAAATTTGAATTAAATTTAAAAAAAAAAAAAAGTAGAAAAAATAAAAAGGATCTTTGGATATATTAAAGAGACATGATGGGGAAAAGTGTGACAGCATTTTATCAGCTAATGGGCACCTGAAATGAAGAAAACCTAAATGAGGCACAGAGAGCTGGTCTAGCTCATAAAAAGGATTTAAAACTGGGATCAAATTTAGTCTGGAATGCAGAGGACTAAAAGAAGATACATCTGGGATATCTGTAATCTAGATTTTGATCAAACCAAATTGGTTCCTATCTCATGTACTTCACAGTGTAACCAAGATCAGCTCACTGAGATTAAAAGAGAACATCAAATTCCATGTAAAGCCATGTCATCCTGTCCTCCAGGCACTGTCCAGGCACAGGGTGACCCAATTCCCTCTTTCACACTCTGCCTTTTGCAGTCCAGGGAAGCAGCTCGTTATCTGAAGTCAAATCCTGCTGGTAGGAAGCAGGAAGGATCAGCCATTTAGCAGAATAAAAATACAAGTCAGAGATAATTGGCTTAATAATAAAGTGAAATGGACTTTCATATCATGGCAAGAACTGACCTTAGGTCAGGGATGGAATTTATTCCAGATCTCCTGGTTTAATATGGACCATCAGTGAAAATAATGAATTTTGCCATCGTTGAAGCCCAGGTTGGGACTTTTGTTGCTGCTGGAGATAAGGAAGGAGAGCAGCCAGCCAGTGGTGTGTCCAGATCTTGCAAACCAACATTGTACAACTAAAAAAAGATTAAGGAGTGACTTCTAACTTCGATATTTTAATTTTTATTTTTATTTCTATTTTTATTTCTGGTTTTATTTTTATTTTTTGTAAGCCAACGTGAAGCCTATGAAAGGTTCCTCTCACTCAGGAGCAGATTGCTTTTCAAAGATGAACAGCTTTAGATCACAGGAGAATTGCCTAAAGAACTTTGAAACAACAGAGGCATTACCTTCCCTCTCGACTGAAGCAGCAATTACACCTTGTCAACACTGTCTGCTCTGACTAATCCAGAAGTTCAAAGAATCAGCATTTTTTTTCCCCCAGAATAAGGAAATAATGGTGTCACTCTGAGAACTACAACCTGACCTCGAGAAAAAAATCCTCAGATGTGCTGTAACAGACTGTTAGAACTTATTTCAAATCAATATTCATCCTCAGAGGAACAGAAAGGAAATAATCCTGCTGGTCCTACCTGGTTCCCCTATAATTTTCCTCAAAGCCTTCCCACAATCTGGTGGATTTTCTTTCAGAATTAGCTGTGGTTATTTGTAGTAAGAAAAATCTTGGTCATTGGTGGGAAGCACTTCTACTTCCCAACAATTTTAGTGGGAACAAAACCAATCAGCTGGGTACACATATGAGGAAAAAGAATGAAAAAGGCTCCAGGTGGGACAGATTTACCACAACATTTCCTAGAAGAAGGACAGAGAGAAAATGGTAGGAGGGGACAGGAAAGGGAAAAGAGCCATTTCCCACAGGTGCAACACAACCCACAGGAAGGAGTCAGAAGTTCCTATGAGGTTACCCCAAGGAGCAAGTGGAAACAACCACTCCCAGCCTGGTCTAGTGGAAGGTGTCCCTGGCCATGGTAGGGGATGGAACTGGATGATCTTTAAGGTCCCTTCCAACCAAACCATTCTGTGATTCTGTGATTCTATGGCTAGTGCTGAATATGACTCCTCTGCAGCCAAAGTGGCAAAAAGGAACTTAAATTGTATCCTGTTGATCTTCTCATTTCACTTTTTAGACTTTCAGTTTGACTGTGAGAACAGATTCATCCTGTTTCCATTTGGGTTTCATACTTTTCTTACACTATGGAACCAAAAAGGCACGGCATCGACACAGCTCACCACTCCTCTGTGCTGTAAAAAAAAATACACTGAGATATTTCTAATGAAACCTTTTATGTAAGAGTTCATAAAATGGAGAGGAAGTAACCAAAGAGAAACAATATCTCCAAAAAGCTGCATGTCTTTAACAAGAAATCAAGCTGAAGAGCTGAAAGGATTTAAAATGGTCAGTGATAGATGGAATTCTCTCAGTGACATTCAGCTCTTCACCTCAGTGCCTGTTTCAGAATTTCTCACGAAATAATCCATTTATATTGTCAGTTAGTGTCCTCAGCTCACCTCCTCCTTTTAATTAGCTGATTTTTAATATTCCACAGCCAAAGTTTTACCGACTATGAACATTTCCAGAAGCCTTCTCCCCAAAACCCCTCGATGTTTGAATTACTTTAAATAATTTATCAAACCACCAAATATAATTTCATTTGCTGTTAATTGTGCAAATAGAAACCCTTTATTTATAGGAGCCATTATGGGTATTTCCAGTTCTGGTTCTCCTTCAGCCCTAGAAGGGGTTCAGCCGTCGCAGAACCTCCCTGCAGATGGGAAGACTTTATTACACCGAGGGCTGTGTGCCAAGAGCAGATTGTCTGTTTATCCTGTATCCATTTCCCACTTAGAAAACATCACCTCTCTCAGAGGATTAGAGACAGAGAGCTCCTTCAGCGGGGATTCAAACCCTGGCAAAAATGTCCCTGTAAAGAGCAATAGAAAAAGACATCTGAGTGACACCTCGGCGCTGCTTTTCCATCCTTTCCCTTCCTAATAGCATTTAGATTCTCACCTTCTTAATCATGTCCCAGGTGAGTGCCCAAGCTGAGGGATTAAAGAACTCATTCTTTTTAACTGCCTGTATCCAGTGAGCATTTAATTATTTCCAGCAAAGTGGAACAACTTCAAAGGGCTGGAGAGCTCCTCACCTGTGAGCTCCGAGTCCCCGGCACTGACGGCACGGGGGGTTCATCCTTAGCTGGTCCTGCCTCAGGTGAATTCAATTCTACAGTTCAGGCACCACCAAAACTCCTCCCTCCTGCCTCACATCTTCAATAAAAAGGGACTTGGCTCTCTTGAATTCTGAACCCAGTAAATCTCAGAATCACAGAAGGGCTTTGATTGGAAGGGACCTTAAAGATCACGTCAAGTATTCAGAAAAAAACAGGTAGGGGATGACTTCCTTGTAGTCTTTGTCTGTACAGAAAGATCTTTAAATAAATAAATAAATAAACACAGGGAATAAAAATATGTCTGCTGTCTTTGGTTTTCTGCTTTGATTGTTTTAAAAGTGGGAGGTTGAGGGGCTGGAGTGTGCCCAGGGAAGGGAACAGAGCTGGGGAAGGGGCTGGAGCAGCAGGAGGGGCCAAGGGAGCTGGGGGGGCTCAGCATTCCAACCCCTGACACCTTCCACTTATCCCAGGCTGCTCCAAGGCCCATCCAACATGGCTTGGGACAGACAGCTGAAGTGCCACCTGGTTGTGCAGGTTTCCTTGTGAACACAGCGATCCCAACCCAATAAATGTGCTTTTAAGTGAACATTGGCTGCTATTTTCTCCCTTTAAAGGCAATGCCACGAGAACCACACCAGCCAGGACTTGAGCACGCNGCAGCCACAGCTTCTCTGGGCAACCTGTGCCTGGTTGTCAATGTGTAATGGAAAGAAAAAAGTGTCTAATCTTCAGCATTCAATGATTTTGGAGATGAACCAATTTGTGCCAACTAAAGCCTAAGCCTTGGTGAATATGCAAAGTATTACAAAAAAAGGTTCCTAGTTAAGTATTAAAAAAAAAAGTGTTGGTCTTTTGAGCATCTGTTTCTCCAAACCAGCATGGTAGTTTTTATTATGTCACAGTTATCACTAATAAAACACCCAGTTCCTTCCTATGTGTTAAATAAACAAAGGGTTCAACACTAAAATACTGAGAACCCACACCTTGGGGATCTAC